GTCTTCTGAGAAAGCTTTGCTGAAAAGGAAGTGCAGAAGGGCAGACACTGGAGGTGAACACACAGCTGAGGAGCATGTGTTTCAGGCTGGGGGAAATGACAGTGCGCTTGCATACTGCTGCCAATAATCAAGTGGAGAGGAGGCATGATGCTACAGGAGAGGGAGGGACAGTCGCTGGAGTGATGACTTAGGGTGGGTGACAGCGTCTAGGATCCCCCACAGGAAGGGCAGTGGGGCTGGGGTGTGGTGGTGGGAATGGAGAGGTTTTCATTTGCTTGCTTGTGTTTTCTCAGAAAAGCAGCAAGCAAGATCATCAGCTGAGAAAGAGAAGAGTTCAGGACATTGGGCATTTGAGGACAGAAAACAGAAATTTACCCTGACAAGTACTAAGAACCCTAAATGAGCCCAGAGATAGTGCTAAAGATGGGCAGCAGAGTCAGAAACAGCGCCAGAACGCATAGAGGCTGTGGGCTGTGGGAAGGTCCTCAAACTGATCTGGAGACGCATTCATCACTCTGTGTTTCTTTGTCTCCCTCACTAGATTGTAAGCTCCACGAAGACAATGTTGACTTTGTCCTTGCTCTTCACTGTGTCCCCAGCCATGGTATAGTGCCCAGCATGTATGAAAAATATTTGTTGAAAGGATAAAGAATCAAGAATACTAGAAATAATTGATAATGACCCAAAGTTGTCAGTGTAAAAGGCACTTACACTGATAGGGAATGTTCACTCGATTGATCTGATCCACACTAGTCATGCAGTGAGTCAATGCAGTGCATACCCTCTCGAGGTGCTGGGGCTCACTGGGCCCAAAATGTGGCATGAGTTGTGCACCCTGCTCACATGGCCCCATGGCCCGGTTCACATCCTGGGTGCACTGTCTTTCCTCTGCCACTGCGAGACATTAGGAGGACAGCTCAGTCACTGCTGTTCTGACCTCAAATGAAGGGCTGTCAGGGCCAAGCAAGCAGGAGGGGAGCCGCTGCAGATCCTGGTAAGAATAGCAGGCTTCCTTCCCGGAGGCAGTAGTGTCAGGCTAATGATTGTAATAATGCAGCTGATGAAGGGGGAGAATCTGGAGGGGCGTGGATGTGAGCAGAGACTCAACCTGAAGCACTTGGCAGCACAGGGCAGAGATCAGGGAGGGCAGGCAATAGAGAGGGAAGGAGGGTGGAGAGCAAAGGAGAGAGTGAAAAGAGTTCAGAGTGGGCGGGGGCCCCAAAAATTCACTAAGCAATAAATACTGAGCATCTACTATGTGCCAAGGCACTGCAGTAGGAGCTGGCTGGCAGGTTACAAGGTGAACAAGACAAATGAGATCTTCGCTTTCTCGCATACGTGGGAGCAGACAACAAGCAGTAAACAAATATAAGGTCATTTCAGAAAGTGGTGAAAACAGGGCCGGCCCCGTGGCTCACTCGGGAGAGTGCGGTGCTGACAACACCAAGTCAAGGGTTAATATCCCCTTACCGGTCATCTTAAAAAAAAAAAAAGTGGTGAAAACAAAATAGAGTGGGGGCCACTTTAGATTGTTTTTTTGGGGGGGTGGCTGGCCAGTTTGGAGACCTGAACCCTTGACCCTGGTGTTACAACACCACACTCTAAGCACTGAGCTAACCGGCCAGCCACTTTAGACTTTCAGCAGAGATCTGAATGACTAGAAGAAGCCAGCCGGGTGAAGATGGAGGGAGGGGTGGTAAAGCATTCCAGGAAGAGGGAATCGAAGGACGAAGGACGGGGGTGCTAAGAGAATGATTTCTGATGTTCTAAAACAGGAAGAAGTCCGATCTGGCAGGAGCACTGTATAAGAAGGCGAGTACAAGTTGGTGGGATTTTCCTTACAAGGAGCTCAGATTTATTCCAAGTACAATGAAAAGCTACTTGAATATCTTAAGAAGGGAAGAACATGATGATTTAGATTTTTAAAAAATTACTGATATTGTTAAGACTAATTTGTAAAGGGCAAGGACAGAAGCAAAGTACCTTTCTCTTCTGTGGGGAACTTTAAGAAAGGGGGGGCTGTCCATTAGCTCAGTTGGTTTGTGCATGGTGCTGATAACATCAAAGTCCAGGGTTGGGGCCCACCTGTGGCTCACTCGGGAGAGTGTGGTGCTGATAACACCAAGGCCCCGGGCTCGGATCCCATATAGGGATGGCCGGTTCGCTCACTGGGTGAGCGTGGTGCTGACAACACCAAGTCAAGGGTTAAGATCCCCTTACCGGTCATCTTTAAAAAAAAAAAGACAAAGTCCAGGGTTGGATCTCTGTTACTGGCCAGCGGCAAAAAAAAAAAAAAAAAAAGCACAGGACCAGCTAGGAAGCTACTGTGATATTTCAGATGAGATGATAGCTGGGACCAGGACTATAGCAATAAAGATGGAAAGAAGTAGATGGATTCAGGGTATATTTCAGATGTAGAGCCTTGCTGGCGAATTAGAGACAGGAAGGGATTCAGTGAAAAAAGGGAAAGGGAAGATGTTTCCTATGTTTTTAGCCTGAACAACTGGGGGAGTTATCACATCCCGGGATGGAGAACAGTAGGAGAGAAATGGACTGGGGTGAGAGAATTCAAGACATCTATTTTGGTCACGTTAGCTTGGCATGGCTGTTAGACATCCAAGTGCAGATGTCAGTAGGCTGCTGGATAAATGAGTCTGGCGCTCTGGATATAAATTTAGGACTCACTGACATTTACATAGTATTTAAGCCCTGGGACTGGATGAGATCACTGGACAGAGAATGTGGAAAGAGAAGAGAGCCAAGGACTAAGCCCTAGGAGGCTCCAATATTTAGAGGTCAGAGCTGAGGAAGACTAAGAAATAACAGCCAGTGAGGTTGCAGGGAAACTAGGACAGTGTGATGTCCTAGAAGTGCAATGAGGGGTAATGTGACAGAGAGGGGTGGAGTGGGAGGTGGTGGCAGTAGGGGAAGGGAGGCTACTTTTGATAGAGAGATTGGGGAAGGCCTCCCAGAAGACACTGGATCTAAGTGGGACCGAAATGAAGAGTGAGTCATTGTGGAAAGCCAGGGAAAAAGCACCGGAGACAGGAGGAACAAGTGCAAAGGCCTTGAGGCAGGTTAAGCTTGCCTCCTTCCAGGAGCATAGCTCATGTCCACTTTGACTGAGGCATAGATATCTTTAGGAGAGGAAATCAGAGAGCTACCTCGGGGCCAGGTCTTACAGGCTCTTGTAAATGACAGTAAGGAGTTTGGATATTCCGAGTGCTGGAAAAGCTGACACCTGATCCACTTATTTTAAAGACCATTTGCGTTACTTCGGGAATGCATTTTAGCAGGGCCAGAGTGGAATGGGGGATTAGGCTGTTGGGGTAATGCCGTGATAGTGCGGGGTCTTCTCCCCCATCCTTCCCTCCACCCCTCGCCCCCTGATCTTCATCTCAGGCGCTCTCCACAGGGAGGAAAAGAGAGTTGGGGACGCAGAGCACTTGGTGATTCCGAACCTCAGAAACTGATTGGGGTGACCATGGGTGTCCATGGAGTTGGGGTTAAGCGGGGGGG